TTGTTGGTCGGCCTTGAACTTGCTTACATAGCCCTGGTTGGCCTACAACTCTTAGAGATCCTCTTGCTTCAGATTCTCCTTCAGATCTCTCCTCCTCCTACATTTATGCACCACCATGCCTGGCTGGAGTATATTCTCAAAGCTATCACACTTAAAAAGTAGTTCCTATGAAAGTCATCACAAACCACACCAAGCAGATAAGAAAAATTTGAAAATAATTGTGCAAAACAAAAACAAACTGAAAGACCATTGTAATTTCTATGTTGATTGAAAGGAATGTAATGAAAGCATACTTGATAAGAATCACTTGTACCCACTGCTCAGAATGGAAAATAACGGTAAGAAATATGGCATACTTTCTTTTGCTAAAAGTACATTTTTGAAAATCAATTACAAAGTATCTCCTTATGAGGCTTGAAATTAATTAAATATTAGTATTTCTTATTAAACTGAAATAAAAAGTTTCAAAAGTCTACCTCTTGAATCTTTTTGTTCATAATTGTTGCAGTGCTGTATCTAGACTGTGTAAAGTCCTGCTGAAGTATTACTGTTGCTCAATAGACCTCTGACATTTTTATAACTATCTAGAGATTTAAAGATTAATAAACAATTCTGAACAAGAATCTCTGTGCTGTATGTCATCATAAATTGCAGTCTCAGCTGGTCACTCCCACTAGACATGGAAAATGAGACTAGGGGTATCAGAATAACTGCTCTCTGCCCAGGTGGAGAGCTCACCATTATGTGTCTCTGAACTTCATCAGGGTCAACAAAAGGAGGTGGAATTTACCCAGGTTATTTTTGTCACAGTTCCATTTCTTTTGTCTTAATTGTTATTCTGGATTCACAAAATTGGAGTCACCTGTAATATGTATGTGATGCCCACCAAGGAAGTGACTTTTATGTTAAATTAAAGTCAAAAGTTCTGGGGATAGAGTTTGATGCTCTTTGTGAGAGCTGGTAGGCTTCTGGGAGGTGAACACAGAACCAAAGAACCACTACCACAGGGTGGCAGTAGCACCCCATCTTTTGGGTGAATTTTTGGCAGCCTTGCAGCAATAACCACTCCATAACAGGCTTTAGTTCAAAACCTGAAGTTTGAAAGTTGCAAAGAGAAGAGGAGAAGATGCTGGAGAAAAAGGTCATGTGCCTAGGTTATATCACGCAGTCACAGAAGGGACTCTCAATATCAGAATCCTTGTTGGGTAGACCTGAGACAGATTTCACCCAGAGCTCTGACACAGGCCTTGATAATGGCTAAGTGCAGTATGCAAGACCATTGTTGATGGGTAACCTGGGATCCAACTGCAGAGATTTTTCCTCCTCTTCCCTCCAGTAGAGCAGCCTGTCTGAGGCTGTTACCCAGGTGTTCATGTCAGGACAGCTGTCAGCTCAATGTGGGTTTAGAATTTCCCTTTGTATTCACAAAATGTGATCCCTTTGTGTCAAATTATCCTGAGAACTCACCAGATGCTGTGTGGCACAAGTTACAGAAGCTCCGGTCCACCTCTCTCTTCCTCAGTGTGCCTAGTCACCTCAGTTACTACTTCTGCACACCTGGTTGAGATAAGGAGTCAATCTGAATGTCTTTTTCCAGACAAACTGTGCACTGCTTAATGATCTTCCCCAGTGGCTTTTTAGCAACCTTATTCTTTGAAAGACTGACTTAAGAGTGACATTCCTTGGGCCAAGAGGTGTGGATATAACAAGAGCTTAGAATAGAAGGACCTGGCTCTGGGGCCTCAATGTCCTGAAACTGTTTCCTGAGGGCAGGTCATGGAGCTGTCTTTCATGTAGGGAACTTGTTTGGGGGCGAACCTTTTTACTCCATGCCTTTTTAGTCTAACCAGACTCAGGCTGTTATGTCCTTCACAATGTGGAAAACTTCAGTCTCTGATCCAGAGCTAAATGGAATTTAATGTGTATTTTCAAATATTCTTCATGTGATGCACACGAACAATAGGCAGGTTTGAGTGTAGCACCTCCCAGGGTACTGGCACCAGTCTCTTAGTTACATCCCCCAGTTCTGGATTTTATTGCATATGAAACTGTCCTTCTGAAGATACTTACATTCACTTCTTTTTCAACTTAAGTGTTGAATGAATCAAAGGCCCTGTGTTTGCTAGGCAAACTTCTATACACCACTGAGCTATACCCACCATCCACTGTCCAGTCTTTATGTCTCAAGGAAGCAATTTCAGCAGTGCTGCTCTGTTACAAAAAAATCTTCACCCATTAAAAGCAGATTCATTCAAATCAAGAGGTTTCCCAATAAATTGTCTATACATTGCCATGGCAGGCCCTTAAAATGATTGGCTGGTGTGCACTGCATGACAGTCTGAGATCCTTCTCAAGTGCACTAACCTCCCTTTGCTATTTTCTACTTCTGTGTAGCTAAGTCAATAATATCTGTGGAAGTTAAGGTAGAGTTTCAACTTAATTAGTTTTGGTGTACACCATGGGGACAGTGGAGCACATGCTGAGTATGTGTTGGTCATCTTGCAGACCATCAATTATAAAAATTTTATCTAGAATTTGTTACCATGTCATATTGCTGCTCTTCCTTCTTATGTACTCTTTATGTACTAATACTGCCTATTAATCTTTTCTCTATTCCTTTAATTTTCATGTCATGACTTACGTGAAGTATAATGTCCACCTTAAAAGAGTTAAAAAACATCTTATGGTAATGACATACGTGCACTCATGTTCATAGCAGCACTATTCATAATAGCTCATCTTGGAATCAGCCTAAAGAGGATTGAAATGACCTCTACACAGTGGAGTACTACTCTGTTGTTAAGAAAAAATGAATTTGAGGCATTTGCAAAAAAATGGATGAGCCTTGAAACCATATTGTTAAGTGCAATAAATAAGATGCAAAAGTCATACATCAAATGATCTGCCTTACAGGAAATATTTAATACGAAAGAGGACAGAGAAAAAACAGAGTAGTAGACTAGCAGGTTCCAGTTTCATGGAGTAAGGTATGAGAGTTCACTTGCAGGATTTTAATTTCTTTGGATATATTAATGTCTTTGTTATCATTTTAAGCATGGCCTCTGTTGAAAAATAAATTCCTACAATAGCAAAATCTATGAAGTTAGAAAATAGCTCAAGGAATCTCTAGATTTAGTGGGGAAAGATTGGGAGATAAATGTTAGCAAGTAGAGTGTCTTGATTTGAAATAACAAAAATGACTATGTTTGATTGTTGTCTGTTGTACAAGCCTGTCAATGTGCAAAACTATATTGAATCTTACTCTAAGTCTGTGAGTTGTGTGGTATGCAAATTTCAATTCAAGAACATTGTAAATAAAAAGTAGAGTTTAAAACCTTCTGTAGGTCTCCTGGACCCTATTAAAATGACTGCTATTGTTTCAGAGTCTGAGGTGTCTGCCCTTTGGGCTCTGAAGGATATTCTTGGTGATAATGAGGTCGCTGTAGCAATTTTCAGTAGTAAATTATTTATGTATTTGGAAAAAGAAAGTTTAAAATAGGATGTTTACTTATGTTTCTGTGGTTGTTTTCTGCATTTTTTCTTTTACTTATTTTTCAATATTTTTTTGTTTCTCTTTTGTTTTATCTGGGAAGTATTCTCAGTGTACTGTTGCTGTGTAAATTTGTGCATATCATTTTCTCTCCTATTCAGTTAATGTATGAGTGAATGAAGGTTTCTAGGTGTATTTCCAGTTTCACATCAATATGTCAAGCACATCCAAGCATACCCAATTGGAAAATACTGACCCTTGGCTATCTTGTACAATGTACGTTGTTACCTGTTCACTCCCTGCTATCACTATTACTTCTGTAAGTCTGTTTCTCAGGACCATCTTTCCTTGTATGGTTTGCTTTAGACTTACTCATGTAGGGGCCACCCTGTAAGATGAAGGAGACAAAAATGAAAGAGTCTTTAATATTCATTTAAATCTGTAGGATGAGAAGACTGGGGATCACCAGCAGAAGTGCTTTCGACAGGTGACGGCACTGACATCTACTCCCAACCCTTGGTACAGGGGAGGCAGCAGAGACTCTCCAGTTTTCAGAGTCAGCTAACGTGAAGTGTCTTTGGTTTATAATCCCTGGCACTGAGACAATTCGTGTTTGCAGCACAAGGTCTGATCATAATCAATAGTGCCTGATGGAGAATTTTTTATAATATGATTGCAGTAAAGAGACACATTGTCATGAGATTACCTTCAAAATAATCCCCTTTGCTTTAATCACCTTTTCCCCATCATTCTTGCCACTGTATGAACCCATTCTGGATGTTCTTTGTGTCTACTTGTAGCTGCTTCTATGTATTTAATCATAAAGTTAACACGGATTTCTGCCAAATACAAACATTACAGTGCATACTCACCATATTCACCAGAAATGGCGCAGTATCATTAACATCTCTTTTCTAAAATCAAAATTTCAGTGAAGCCAACCATTTTGAATTGATTCAAGATCTCAAAACAGCCACCACAAGGAAACTAAAAACATTCATGGAAAAGGATTTTAGGACCCCTTCATCATGGGGTAATAGTGATGAGACAGATGTATTTGAAGGAAGAGGGAGTAGTGTGAGGTTAATTAATGACAATCCGTCTTTCATTTTATTGCAAATGAAAGCATTCACTAAGTGTTCTGTGTTTTGTTTTTGAGACAGGGTCTCACTATGAAGTCTATGCTGTCCTTGAACTACTGATAATCCTGCTGCCTCAGCCTCCCGAGTGCTAGGGTTACAGGTGTGCATCACCATGTCTGTAATCAAATTTTTTGGTCAAAATTGCATGTTTACTTTTTTACTCTGTGAGTTCCAAAAGATGCCACAACCTAGAAATCCTAAATAGAATGCTCTTTCCTTTATATCACAAGATACATTGCTATTTCTGGTTCTGGAATGAAGAAAGACATACAAGGTTCGGAGGAGCATTCTGGCTTTCTCTAGCAAAACATTCCAGTTACTATGAATGCCCCACTGCATCTAGGAAACATTCTGAGAAAGTAGTGATATCAGCTGGGGCAGAAGGGGCAGCTGGGGCAGCCCATCCTCACACTTCTGCTTCCTTTGGTGGTTTTTGTTACGCCTTGTATCACTGTGGGAGGTCTAGTGTCTTCTTGAAAACAGTAATAAGTTGCCACATCTTCAGTTTCCAGTATTCTGATGGTGAGAGAATAATCTGTCCCAGATCCACTGCCGCTGAACCTTGATGGGATCCCAGATTGCAAATTGGTTGCATCATAGATCAGGAGTTTAGGAGCTTCCCCTGGTTTCTGCTGATACCATGCTAAATCCTTTCTTATGTCCTGACTGGCCCAGCAATTAATGGTTACTGTGTCTCCTAGAGATGCAGACAGGAAAGCTGGTGACTGGGTCATCTGGATATCACATTTGGTACCTGATATTGGAAATAGAAAAAAAAAATTTACACAGGATGAATGATGATATAAATGATTTCTTTTGAAAGGTCAATCAACACTGATCACCATTTGCTGTGTGACTTCAAAGTTTTCTTCTTCCTTACCTGGGATCCAGAGCACCAGGAGCCCCAGAAGCTGAGCACAAATCCCCATGTTCATGCTGCGTCTTGACTAGAACTAACTCCTGCTCTGAAAATGCCCAGCCTGTTAAGCATGTTCAGATCAATGGGCTGTACTCTGAGCACATGCAAATCAGCTGCAGTGGGCAGGCCTATGCACAGCTGCAGGGCTGGCTGATCTCAGGACTCAACACAGCTCTTCAATGACCCCAGATGGCACTGATCAGACTAGGGTACTAGAGACCATGCCTGTGACTGGAAGCCATGAGGTTACAAGACACTTGAGGGGCATTTATGAATATTTGAAATCAGCCAGATTAATATGAATGAATCTACTTTGTAACTTCATTGGGATGTCTCAGAAAAAATATTTTTTTCTAGAGTATCAAACAAGTATTCTTAGAGGGAAGAGATCTCAAGTCAATTTATTTTCAAATATTTTTAAGATCAGGAGAAAAACATATTTCTGCTATACTTATTTCACTGCCCCAAGAATAAATATTTTCTATCTTTCTCTAATTAAAAGGCATATCCATTGAGTCTAGGTACATATATTCTAAGATAATTTTATACCTGAACTCACAAATATCTCCTATTTACAAAGCATCATCTTTCATATCTTTCAGCCATTGCCAATCTCTGCAAATATCAAACAATGTACCACAGATGTATAGAGATTGTTAGGCCATGTTCTCCATTCTGAGGGTATAACTCATATATGCCACCATCGAAAGCTACAGGTCTCTTTCACTCACAGAAACTAAATGGACTCCAACTTAATCTTGTTTGAATATTGTTGAATTCTGCCTACTTCTCTGACACCAAATTCCAAAGCACCGATTTATATAAAACAAATATTAACAGAAATGAAAACTCAAATTATCAGTAACACAATTGTAACAGGAGACCTTAACACGCCTTTGACACCAAGGGACAGATCAATCAGACAGAAAATTAGCAAAGAAATAACAGAACTGAATCACACCTGTAAACAAATGGACTTGATAGACATACAGAATGTTCCACACAACAACATCAGAATACACATTCTTCTCAGCAGTACATGTGTCATTCTCTAAAATAGACAATATATTAGCTCACAGAACATATTTAAACAAATGCAAAGGAGTTGAAATCATCCCTTTCATGTTATCAGATCATAGCACTTTGAAATTAGAAATTAATGATAAAAGATACTGGAAAAATTCCACAAACACATGGAAACTGAATTACACACTACTGAGTAATCAGTGGGTCACAGAGAAAAATTAAAGAAGAAATTAAACAATACTTACAGGAAAATGAAATTACAGACACAACTTACTGGAATCTCCGGGATGCAATGAAAGCTATCCTCAGAGGAAAATTTATTGCACTGAGTTCCCACATTAGGAAAACAGATCCAATACAAATAACCTGATGCTACACTTCAAAAAAATAGAAAAACAAGAGCAAGTCAAGCCCAAATCCAAAAGAAGGGAGGAAATTACAAAAATTAGAGCAGAAATCAACGCAATAGAGACCAAGAAAACAACCCAAAGAATCAACGAATCAAAGAGTTGGTTCTTTGAAAGAATAAATAGAATCCATAAGCCCCTAGCCAACCTTATTTAAAAAATGGGAGAAAAAGCTCAAATTCATGCAATAAGAAATGAAGCAGGTGAAATCACTACAGACTCTACAGAAATACAGAAGATCGTGAACACCTATTTCGAAAACCTCTACTCTCAAAGGTTTGATAACACAGAAGAAAGAGACAGATTCCTAGAAACAAATGAAGTACCAAAGCTAGATCAAGAGAGTCTAAAGCTGTTGAATAACCCAACCTTTATTAATGAAATTGAAAATGTAGTTAAGTCCTTACGTATAAAGAAGAGCCCAGGCCCAGATGGATACACTGCAGAATTCTACAAGAAATACAAAGAAGACCTAATGCAGACTCTCCTCAAACTATTCAACGCAATTGAAAGGGAAGCAATCCTTGCTAAGTCATTCCTGGAAGAAAATATTACTCTAGTACCAAAACCTGAGAAAGATTCAACTAAAAAAGAGAACTACCGACCAGTCTCCCTAATGAACACAGACACAAGAATCTTCAATAAAATACTGGCAAAGAGGAGGCAGCAAATAATCAAGGTTATACACCATGACCAAGTGGGATTCATCCCAGGAATGCAAGGATGGTTCAACATACATACCGAAAACTAAAGCTAGACCCATGCCTATCACCATGTACTAAATTAAAATCTAAGTGGATCAAAGATCTGAATGTTAAAACAGAAACACTAAATTCATTTGAAGACAAATTGGGTAGAAACCTTGAAGACATAGGGCTAGGTAGAGAATTCATGAGCAGGACTCAAACCACATGGGAAATACTTCCCAGAATCAAGAACTGGGACCACCTCTTATTAAAAAGTTTCTGCATGTCAAAAGAAATCTCCAGCATAGTGAAAAGAAAATCCACAAACTGGGAAAAGATCTTAGTGAACTCCCCCTCAGACAAGGGACTTTTGTCTAAAACATATAAAGAATTAAAAAAACTCAGACCTCCAAAATTCAAATATGCAATCCAAAAATGGGTGTCTGAGATAAATACACAATTCTCAGATGAAGAAATACAAATGGCAAATAAATACATGAAAAAATGTTCATCATCATTGGTCATTAGAGAAATGCAAATTAAAACCACACTGAGATTCCATCTGACTTCTGAAATAATGACCAGGATCAAGAAAACCAACAACAACAAATGCTGGAGAGGCTGTGGGGAAAAAGGAACTCTCCTACACTGTTGGTGGGAGTGTAGACTGGTACAACCTTTGTGGAGGTCATTCTTGAGATTTCTCAAAAAACTGGGATTGGAAGTTCCATTTGTTCCAGCTATTCCACTTCTAGACATATTCCCCGAAGAACTGAAAGCATCATACCACAGTGATTTATGTGCACCTATGTTTATAGCAGCACACTTTGTAATCGCCCGATCTTGGAAACAACCCAAGTGTCCATCACCTGAGGAATCGATACAAAAGTTGTGGTATTTCTATACAATGGAGTATTACTCAGCTATAAAGAAGGATCACATTGAGATATGTATCAATAAATGGGCACAGCTTGAGACCATACTCATAAGTGAAATAAATCAATCCCGCATGTGTGAATACCAAGTGGTTTCCCTAATGTAAGTAATGATTCAAATATATAAAACTATGTGGTAATCATGATTCCCCATTATGTGGCCTTGAAGCCTTATAACGTTTTCACTTATTAACTGGAAAGACTTTATTCTGGACTGCTTGATATTATTGCCTGTGATGAAATGAACAGCTATTTTGAAGAAAATAAGTCATCATAACAGCTAGTGCTGATTTACTATCATCTTGTTTTGAAGCCCCACGAAACTATGGCTCTTCTGTCTCCATTAGTTTTATCATGATGTATCTTGCTGGATTTTATTATATGTGATAGTATAAACAGAAATTGTTTTGGCAAAGAGATAATATAGAAACCATTATTTATTTTCTGTTAGTTGGTTCTAAAAACCCTACAATGCTTTCATCCACTTGAATGGTTTTACACTGACTTGTTATGTTTGAAGCTATAGTATATGAAGTTATATTCAAGTATTTCAAGGAAAAAGACACTATGGTAACTACTTTTAAACCGGGTTATTTGGTGGTGAAGCACTAGGTTGCTGAAACTGTCATGCTTTGACCTGTACTGTTATGATGTTATGTCTTCTTTTATCTCAATCTCTTCCTTATTCATTAAAAAATTATTTATTTATTGTTTATAATTTTTTTAATTAAGGGGAAAAATAAAAAAAAAATTGGCAGGATATGTTATAGTAACTCATTTGATTTCCTATTAACTTGATTTAAAGTCCTGTAATACTCCCACTATCCTTTTTTGACTGAAGAGACTGTTCCATTCTGTATGATAGTATCAATTTTGAAGGTATAGGCAACTACTTTGAAGGCAATAAGATTCACTCTGATGCCCATTCTGGTTTGACTATTATCTTCTTTGGAAGTCCTATAGTGTTTACAAGGTTTAGGTTTTATTGGTCTTGTTCTCTGCTGTTTTGTTCAACTTTATAATACCTAAAGAGATAGACAATTCTTTGTAAGGAAGCAAGAGGCATTATGGCAACCATTGTCAATGACCTTGTACTCTGTTTTTACATCATGTGCTATGTCTATCCTTGATTTTGACTGACAGCTTTGTTTTGCCATATTTGACTTTATTCTCTTCCAAAAAAAGTAATAAGAACTAAGGGGTAATAAAACCCAAAATATGTAAATTTTGTTGTATAAAAGAGGAAAAAAACGTGCTCTAAAGTATACAACTGCAAATGTGTTTAGGGGTGTTAAATAGATGCCCATATTAATGTTTTTGATTGGATAATTGAACACAACTGTTTGCAGTCTCACTGATTGAATGTCCACTTGTATGCTTTGATACTGTGACGTGAGCAACTGTCTCTAGGATGATAATTGTAATCTATTAACTGGTGATTTCTTACTGTTTTTTTTTTTTGTAGTTCTGTATTAATTGTACCCTTACACTGCTTTGTTTTATTTTTTTCTCTTTTTCCTTTTAAATAAAATTTTAAAAAAATTAATAAAGCACTGGGCTGGCGACACAGCCTCCAGTAGCCAGTATGGAAGACTGAGCGCCTTACAGCTAAAGGGCAGGGTTTTTATTCTGTAAAAACGCAAACATCTGCTGGTCTCACAATGCAGGCGGGTTGGGTTCATGGCGCACTACAGAACAGGAACCTGGCAGTTGCATTTCTTGGTAAGAGCAAGGTTCAGGTAAAGGTTGGGCTGACAAGCAAGTTTAAATTAGGCAAACATCCTCTGGGGAAGGCACATCTTGCAAACAAGCAAGTTTAGATTAGGAAGACAACCTGTTCTGCTCTTAGAGTTACCTTTGATCTTTCTCTTGCCTCTGAGGAGACTTATGAGGGTTATATATATATATATATATATATATATATATATATATATATTGAATTGAAACAACTGTAAGACCTTAGAATCTCCTCACTTCTCACT